CCAGTGAGGTGCGGTGCTTACGGGGTTTGCTGGAGGAGAACCCACAGGGGAGGCAGGAAGGTGAGCTATGTAAGCTGTACAGAAAATGCAGACATAAGAACTTTAATAAGGAGGTGATGGTGGGGGGGGCAGTGGGGGCTTCAGTGCAAATAGCTGTCCTGTAGGAGATCCTCACGCTGGGTCTGTGGTTGAGTTTAGAAACTCGTGTTTATATCATTGACCCAGAAACATGGACAGAAACAAGCTTCAGTTACTCTAAGACCCCGTCATTTGTAAGATGGTCCAGCTTTTGAGGGGGAGAAATATCCCCATCAGGAACATTGAAATGTGGGAGCAAACATGGGCCTGGGATTCAAGGAAGCTGGCTTAGTTCAGAACTGTCTCTTTGGCTAATTGTCTGGATTCCGTCTGTTTTAAGAAGGCAGGAAGGTGCGCAGACGTAACCCAAACCCTTAGACAGGACTTTGCTAGGAGCCGAGTTCCATCTTCAACGCCAAAACAACTTAGAACAAAAATCTAAACTAATGTGGAGATAAATGACTCTAAAATGTGCTCTGTATGTGACTTTCCTGCCTCAGGCTCTTGAGCATCCCCCAGACAACTATCCTCTCTGACTTGTGTGTCTGTTTTTTTTTTTTTTTTCTGCTTTTCCTTTGTGATTCACTATTGGAAACTGGCTGCTGTGCTGGTCCTTCTCCTTGGCAACCACTGCTCCATCCCAGCATCTGTTGTGAGCCAGGTTGTCAGTCAGGACCGTATGTCAATGGGTGGGCTAGTAGCTCAGTAGGGGCTCATCTAAGAACATAAAATATTATAGGAGCACCTGGGTGACTCAGGTGGTTAAGCGTCCGACTCTTCACTTTGTCTCAAGTTCTGATCTAGGGTCATGACATCGAGCCCCACATCAGACTTTGTGTTGGGTGTGGAGCCTGCTTGAGATTCTCTCTCCCTTTCCCTCTGCCCCACCTCCCTACCCCGCTCCCCACTTGTATGCATTCTCTTCCTCTCTCTCTCTTAAAAAAAAAATCAAAGATGCATTGTCTTAATATTTGGAAAGAATCTGGGAAGTATCTTTTTTCTATCAGATTGGTTCATTATGATATTTTCTGGCCATTGGAGGTAAAGTGTCTTGGGGAAGGGGCACCTTCTCATCTCCTCCTAAGGGCCTGCATGGGCTGGTAGTGCCGTCGCCTGGCCCAGAGTCACGTCTTTCAGTTTGGCCATGATGCTGTGCGTGTCCAGGAGGCCCCCTGCTCACCTCCCTGCCTTGCACTTGGGTCAGCCCAGGGCCCGCATCTCACCGCAGAGAAGTGTCCCACTGTAACTCACCCCTGGGCTTACAGTTATGCACGCTGAGGGCAGGAACAGAAAGCCCAGAGCAGCCCACTCCCCCCGGCTCTCTTCCTGCTGGCCAGCCCTGCCTGCTGCCCAGACCCTGGTCAGCCCCTTGTCATTGGGACTCATTCGTGGCTTACCTCTGTCTTCCCCAGAATCACGCCCCATCAGCTCTCAGGGAAGCTGTGGCCGAGCCCGCCTGCTGATCTCTCTCCTCCTGGAAGCTTTTGAGTAACAGGTGCAATGACCTCCTCACCTGAAAACAACTAGCTTTGAGCTTGCTATTGGTATTGGAAATATATTGTTTATGGATACTGACATAGGTGGGAAAATTATACACAAGATAATCGTGACTGTTGGGCAGGATCTTTTGTTGCTTTCATTCACCTCCTGGAGCATGGCACAGTTCTGGATAGGTGAGTCTTCTGGATACTCGAGCTATAGAAGACCAACCTGTAGGGTAATGCATTTTATTTTATATTTTATTTTATTTTTATTTTATTTTATTATTTATTTTATATTTTATTTTATTTTATTTTATTTATTTAATTTAATTTATTTAATTTAATTTATTTTATTTTATTTTATTTATTTAATTTTATTTATTTAATTTTATTTATTTAATTTTATTTATTTTATTTTATTTATTTTTATTTATTTTATCTTATTTTATCTTATCTTATCTTATTTTATCTTATTTTATCTTATTTTATTTTTTATTTTTTTGATGTGATTTTATTTTTTGATATAAGATTTTAAGATTTTATTTTTAAGATTTTTTTATTTTTAAGATTTTATTTTATTTTTAAGATTTTAAGATTTTATTTTATTTTTAAGATTTTAAGATTTTATTTTATTTTTAAGATTTTATTTATTTAAGAGAGAGAGACCACAAGTGGAGAGGAGGGGCAGAGGGAGAGGGAGAAGCAGACTCCCCTCACCCTGAGCAGGAAGCAAGACGTGGGGCTCCATCCCAGGACCTGGGATCATGACCTGAGCCAAAGGCAGATGCTTCACCCACCGAGTCACCCAGGCACCCCAGGGTGATGATGCATCTGAGAAGAGGCAACAGAAGGAATGTGACTATTTCAAGGAAACCCGCGGTGCCCCAGCTCTTCCAAGTTCTGGCTCAGGAAGGAGGCTTTGAGTTTGAGTCCAAGAAATAGAAAATGCCTGTCAGAGGCTGCAGCTTTATTCACACCTCTCTTAAGACTCTCAAGACGGCCAGTGCAGTGGGCCGTCACCGGGCTGATAGGGTTTAGGGTCAGGGGCATGAATCGAGCACACTCAGTCCTGCTCACATGCAGGGCATTACGGGGAGAAAGCGAGTGCGCCTCTTGCTCTGCGCAGGGCTGCCCGAGGACAGGGTCACGGCTGATGGTTGCACTTTTCAGAATCCACAGAAAGAGACCTGATCAATAAGTTGTCAGAAGCGTCCCTCTCAGACTGCATATTTTTCTCTTCTCCAGCACATAAACTACTTACTACTTTCTGGGGGGTTTAACTCTTCCACATCACGAGTGGACCACCCGACTTGCACACAGTGGTTCACGTAAGAATTTACATAAAACCAGACAGGTCGCTATAGGTCGCTGGGTCAGTGTCCCTTAGAGAGCCTGACACCCGTGTGGAAGGAGCAGATCGGGGACTGTACCACTGACTGCTGATTTTATTTTTGATTCTTTTAAGAGAGCTGCTTGTAAAAGGAAGCAACATTGAAAGGAATAACCATTTTGAGACATCTTGCATATGACATCTCGTGCTTAACCAGAATTGACGGTTTTCGAAATAAAAGTTTAGAAAGTTCTGTACAAATGAGCAAAACCCAGCCTTTGCCAGAGGATGCCATAGGTCATCTCCAACTGACAGGGCCATAAAAAACCTGTCATTTTCTTAGTACCTCCAATGTGCTAGGACCCACGAGGTGCTCCATGTCATTTTGTTTTTGTTTTTAAAGATTATGTTCACAAGAGACACAGGCAGAGGGAGAAGCAGGCTCCCCATGGGGAGCCCGATGCGGGACTCGATCCCAGGACCCCAGGATCATGCCCTGAGCTGAGGGCAGATGCTCAACCACTGACCCAGGTTTCCCTCATTTTGTTTATAAGAACATGGAAAGCTGGCTTTATCCTCTATTGATTCACTTGCCCTAGACCCCAGAGCCACCCTCTCTCTGTTCTTCTGGCTGCCCTGAGCTGCACATCACCACATTTAACACCAGGGCTAACACCAGAACACCACATCTGTTCTCATTGTCGGGAACACCAGGGCTCAGGGGCACAGGGGCTCCACCGAATTGTGGACAACTGAGATATTTTAAGAGAGGCCCCAGTTCTAATCAGTGCCAGGGAGTCATGGGCTCATTTCCTTTCTGTGTATGACATTTGAGAAAATCTTGCAAGAACCTTCTAAGAGTCCTTATTATCCCAGCAGTACCTGGGACTTTTTTCTCCCCAGCGCACAAGGAGGCAATCTGACACATGCCCCTGGCAGCGGGGGCTCCGTCCCCCTAACATCTCCCAACATAGGAGATGGTGCCGGCTGAAGAGTCACCGCCTTACTTAAAATGAATAACTTTAAAACACTTATGGAGTATTCCAAAAGAAAAAAAAAGGTAAAATAAAAACCAAGAGTATAAAACAGGCAAACAGTGAAAAGAAAGTCTGTCCCCCACCCGCAGTTCCTGGTCCTGCGCTGTCCTCGAGGTTCCAAGGTGCCTAGCACCTCCGGGCTCTTTCCAGGGATGTCCTGACTACATAAGCACTTACCCAGGGAAGCAGAGCTGATGCACGGTCCCACATTTTGCTTCGTTCACCTGAGATTATTGCACATCTACACAAGAGCATTTGCCCTCTTCTCTCCCCTTGCTGCAAAGCGTGGAGGCACCTGGTTCTAGTAGTTCCCCACTGAGGGACAGAAGGTGCTCTCTAGACTTTTGGTATTACCGTGTGGCAACAAGCAGCATGTCGTACACATTTTCGATCCACTGCTTTATGAGAAGTAAGCACCGTGACCTCCTACGTCCGTACTCGCCATTGTACACAAACTCCATCAATGCTTCTGCATCAATAATGACAGGCAACGTTTATTGAGGGCGTATCGTGTGTTAGGTGCTGTGCTAAACACCTTACATGGATCAGTATTTTTTCATATTATCTCGATTTTAATTGCTATAACATTATCCTATAAAAATTGTCTATATAAATGTGTTATTATGTACATGTATGAACTTACACTCAAAATAGCTATAATATTTAATGTGATTAGCTCATGATAGTATTACCTCGATTTCATAGGTGGGGCTAGATACCTTAGAAGTGATAGAGGTGGGATTTGAACCCGGGTACTCCGGCCCCACGGTCAGTAGCTGAACCACCACTCTGTTGCCTATTATCAAGAAAGCCATCTGAGTTTCTAAGGGCTTTGGCGAGCACAGTGAATGCCCAGGCTGAATGCCCAAGAGTGGCGTATACAGTGGAGCTCTTCAGTGAGCTGGGGGGACGTCCCAGCTGGAACAGTGACCACGGACTGAATGCCACCAGAACCCTCCAGAGGCGGTCCTGCAGCCTGAGTCCCTGTCCCCAGACGAGCAAGGTGTGCAGAAGTCAGTACCTTTGATGGGCCCTCATCAGATGTTTTGAGCACAACTCTTGTTTTATTTTTAGTAGAGACAAAGGTATTTTCTGGAAGCAGCAAGAAGCAACTGAGAGAAGCACGTGTGACTTTGTCTGCTCCCCCAGTGGAACACAAGCTGGTTAAAGATTTCCTTCCCGATGAGTATAGCTCTCCAAGCAACTGCTGTCAGTCTAGCAACTTCTCTGAGCCTTCAGAGAGTCAACAGCAAAGCCTCCTGAAATCCAGAATCCCTTTATCCGGGTTTCTTTGCCCCTTACAAGATTTATGCACACCTCCACAGGAAGACCGTGGTGTTCAGATAGAAAGAGAGTTCCCCAAAGGTAAGGAGCAAGGGAGGCAGGGATGAGGTGATTCCTCCTTGATATTCTAACGGAAAATGGTATGATGCCTTCCTGAGCCCTGGTTCACACAAGCCCACCTCGTAAAGCTGTCCCTGCTCCGCTGTGGGAGTCGAGAGCAAGCAGGACAGCAGGTTTCCGTGGTGGGTGAGTTCTCCCTCCCAAGTGTGGAGAAGACAACCCTGTGTAGGTCAAGGGTTCCAGCCCTGCTGTGTGCAGGGTCAGTATCGACTAAGGCCAAGAGGAAGGCCACTCCCAGGTGCATGGCGGGTTCCCAGGCTTAGCTAAGGAAGATTTGAGATGCCGATGTGGCCGCTCTGAGGTCCACCAGGCTGCCCGTGGTCCTCTGTGACTGGTTAGCTAGGAACAGGGCCGAGAGGTGCAGACCTCACAGTGCCCTCCAGGTAGGTCCTAATCCGACCCTCGCCCAGAGGAAAGGAACCAAGAATTCCAGCCGGGCCATCCCTTCTCTAAAGGCCAAGCAGCTGACCCCTACTCCTATTGCAGTGAGCCCTGATCTATAAAGGAATATAAAGGTAGAATAGAAAAGAGATCTGTGGTGCCCAATTTTCAATGAGAGAATTTAGATCTCCTGTTGCTCTGAAGGTTTTCCCAAATTTTGCTCTGGATGAGGAGAGAAAGAAACCCACCAGGTTATATGGTGTTGGGATAGAAAGGTTAAAATGGCTATGGTAGTTGATTAAAACTGATTTCACTTGGGAGCTGAGTTAATCCCTTGCTCCTCTTCCATTAATACATGAAAGAAGCATTTATTAAATACCTACTGTATGTACACCTACCGCGTGCCACTCACTGTGCTTAGAGCTCCCTGCTGGAGACACCAGGATCCTACCTGTGTGCTGAGCAGTCAGGAAGCTGCAGGTGGCCGCAGGGGCTCCAGGGAGGGGCTGGGCGAGACCTGCCCCTTGAGGAAATGATCCCAAGCAGGGGTTTGAAAGCCGATAGGATGCTTACAAATCAGACTGCATTGCAGACTGGGGGAAGGGCACACACACAGCAAAGAGTTGATGGAAAAGATGTGGTTGATTTGGGATCCAAAGGGCCAGAGGTGCTGGGGACAGGGGAGGGGCTTAGTGGGAGTCTGAGGTCATGCGGTCAAGTTGGACCATCCTTAAAACCCACTCATGGGGCTTGGACCAAAGGTAGGGCCAAGCCCTTGAAGGACAGAGATCGAATTAGATTTACTCCGAAAGAGATTGCCTACTGGATGGTGGGGGATCAGGGGGAAGAAAGGGAGAGGGTAGAGCTGGGGGCTGAGACCCCCAAGACTCCGAGGAGGAGCACAGACTGGGTAGGAGAGGCCACAGTCGTGGAGAGTTTCACGATAATAGGGAGCACTGCTGTGAGCACCGATGAAGGTGGGCGTGCCTGCACCGGCCTTGGGTTGCGGGGCCTGGTGGTGGGGTGCAGGTGGGAAAGGATCTAAGGCCCTGTGGCATCCCTGTGGATGAGCTGAGCCAGGAGGAAGTTCACGGCAAGAAAGGGGAAGAGTGTGGGGGGAGGTGGAGTTAACTCCAGCAGCAGGGGACTTGGGGGATGGATATCGGGGCAGGTTGGTTGGACTGAAAGCAGGGATTGGGGCGGGGGCGGGGGGGGCAACAGGGAAATCCTCCAAAAAGAACAAGAGCAAATGCCTGAAGGAATGGAAGAGAATGCCTTGGGAGCCTCTAAGTTGGTGGTAGAGAGTGAAAGGCGAGAGTTGGAAGTGGGCCATCCCCCGTGAACGAGCTACCCGGAGTCTGGTCTGCCTGCGGCACTTGGAGGCCTTCGGGAGCGTGGGTGGGTTTTGCACAGAGAGAGGCCCGCGGGTTCCGGCCGGAGAGGGTCCAGGCAGGAGAGGTGGCTGTTCTGGAAGGGGCTTCAGGTTGGAGATTCATGGGACCGTAGAGATGGAACCCGGGGCCAGGCGGGCCTCCCGAGGGCCATGTCTCCTCTCCCGACAGAACCAGAGGGCTCCCAGGCTGCTCCCATGAGGGACGCGGGGTGGATGTGACATGGTGCCACCGCCCTCGAGTGACACAGGCATGTGAGGTTAACACGTCCTGTTATGACCCTGCCGCTGGGGGTGTGCAGCATGTTCTGCTGTGGGAACACAGAGCTGCGGGTTGGAGCTGCTTTGGAAAGGGGGGGGCGCTTCTGATGGATGTGGGCTCGGCCTGCAGGTCGGAGGTCACCGGGCATGGGAATCAAAGGGGCTTTGTGGCGATGGGAGGGCATGTGGATGAGGAGTAAGACACTATTGAGTTGCAGGGCTGGGGAGGCTGTGTTGGGGGGACATGGGGACAGAAGGGACAGTGTGTCCCTGGTGGAGCCGTTGGTCAGTGAATACACATCAGTCCCTCCTTCCACAGGCCAGAGGCCGCCCTGCCCGAAGTGCTATTGAATCGATGTGTCCCCTGACCTTTGCCACAAGGGAATGTCAGGATGGCCTCGGGAAGGGGCCAGATCCAGCATCGAGAGACAGATCGTTCCAATTATACATGTAAAGCCAGTGGTAGTCTCTGGCAAATGAAGGGGAGGGATAAATAATTGAACACCATTTTTCTGTCTTACATCATTAGCGTAGCAAACAGAAGATAAATTAATACACTGTCCCCAAACAACTGAGCTGCAATAATTGTACAGGACACACTTAATATGAGGCCCAGAATAGAAAAGTTTCTTTTCACTGTGAACAAAGACATTCTGAACCCTGGAAGCCGAGGGAATACCTCCACGGCGTAATTAGACGGTCGCAAAGTCTGGCTACCCACAGACATTCCTGCCTGTGACCAGGGCAGTTGGGGCGGGGAGGGGGAGCGGTGGGGGCTGTTGAGGCAGGATCTTGTCGACTTAACGAGGCCCATTAATAACCCACTGGTGTTTCTACTTTCCAAGTTGTCTTCTGTGTCTCAAGGCTCTGAGGAGCCAGGAGAAAATCTTGCTGCCCCTCTAAATGGGACTCTAAATCTTCTCTCCCAGGGGATTACAAGTGCTGTGACTTGGTTGTGAAAATAAAAGAATGCAGGAAGAGTGAGGAGCCCGAGCCAGCACCCCCCGAACCGGCACCCCCCAAACCAGCGCCCCCTGAGCCACCAGAGACCCCTGACCTGTCTGAAGACCATTCTGAGGGTCAGCGAACACCTGTAGGTTCCTTGACCCTGCAGGTAAGGCCCTCTGTGCACCCGGCTTGATCCCGACCGAAGGGACACCTTTACCCGGAGAGTCCGTGGGGCACGATGTCACTTCCACCTCTGAGACTGGAGGCTTGACCCCCCCTTCATAATGGCTGTGTGACTCTGGGCAGGTCCCCTAGCCTTTCTGGGCCTCTGTCTCACCGTGTGAGTGATGGAGAAACGATGTCTACTCTGCTGGGCTGGAAGGAGGATCACGTAATACCCCTAGTGACAATGATCACGGCAGGGACAGCACGCCCTGAGAACTTACGGGTGATGCAGGGCAGGTCACTTCATAGACATCAGAGCGTTCCATCCTCGCAGCCCCCCTCTTGGGTAGGGGTAGGGGTAGGGCCCCTATGATTTCATCCTCGTGTAAGGATATTACGCTTTGGAAAGATGAAGGAGGTTGCCCTAAATCACATGGCCATGAGCTCAAGGATATGAAAGCTTTCATTTGGTGTCTGTTCCTGGTTGTAAAAGTAATATGTACATGTTTTTTAAAGTTCAAAATTATAGAGAGATAAGGATTAGAAGGGCAGACAACTCTGAGAAAGCCCCAGCCAGCAGCATGTTGTATAATGAGACACCCTGTCTAGGAAAGTACCCGATATGTCACACACCTCCCTGCAGATGTGGAGATGGTGCCATCGGCTGGTCCCCGCCCCCCGGGGTCCTCCGTGGGTCCATGGCGAGAGACTCCTGATGCCCCCGAAGCAGCCATGGGCCAGAGGGCTGTTCCCGGGGGCTGTCTGTGCAGCCCCAGTGTGCCTGGGACCGAGGGATGCCATGGAGACCAGCTGGCCAAGAGGACCCTCCTCCTGCCACAGCGCCTGAGCTGCACCCCCCACCCCCGCAACCTGGGCTCCCAAAGGGCTGGGAGAGGACTGGGGAGGAGGAACAGGCCCGCGACGGCAGTGCAGCCGGAGAGCCTCTGCCAAGCACCTGCTGTGCGGGGTGGGGGGCGCAGGGCAGTGGCCGCGAGGGATCCAGCGTGGGTGAGACATGGCCCAGCGTGGCCCTAAGTGCGTGTGAATCAGTTGTACGAGGCGGACTGTGAGGTTCCACGATGCTCAGGCTGGAGCGGGAGATGGGCCAGAGCTTCCCGGGCGAGCTGGAGCTCTAGCTGGGGGTGTGGCGGGCTCCTACCCCAGGGGTGGAGCACCGGCCAGAGGTTTCCACGGAATAGCGGGTGAAGACCATGGAAGTCAGTGTGGAAAAAATGGGGGTGGCCCTCAGATCCACCCAACTGCAACGAGCCTCGGGTTGCGCATCTGTCGAATGGGGATAAATAGACCTGCCTTCCAGAGTCAACGTGGGGGTTCCCAGAGACCCCTAGAGCTCAGAGCCCAGTGTCTGACACGGAGTGGAACACATCCGTGGACCCGAGTACGTGGATTAGGGCAGGGGTGGAGCGGGGAGCGTGCTGAGGGGCAACGGGGCCACGCAGACATCCCTCCGTGAAGCTTGCAGGGCCAGTTTGCAGGGGCCCCCGGGGGGGCTCAGCTGTTGAGCGCCTGCCTTTGGCCCAGGGGGTGATCCCGGGGTCCTGGGATCGAGTCCCACATCGGGCTCCCCGCAGGGAGCCTGCTTCTCCCTCTGCCTGTGTCTCTGTCTCTTTCTCTGTGTCTCTCATGAATAAATAAAATCTTTAAAAAAAAAATGAAAAAAGAACCAGTTTGCAGAGGCAAAGATACTTTGCCAACTTTGTCGTCCTGGGAATAGACGTTCCCATTAGCCAGGATTACGGTTTCTCCTGAAAAGGCACGTATTTTGCACTGGGTGGAGGATCTGAGTCTGTGTGTGAGGCTTCCAACCCCCAGCAGAAGCGAGTGACTCATAATCCTTTCCTTTCTTTCCCCACCCATGTGTCTTTGGAATATGCAATTCGGGGCACTTGGATTTTGGTCCTTTGGAGATTGAATGGGTGGCCAGGGAAGGAGGGGTGGGTGGCAGTGTGCCCTCTCGCTGTCGGTGACCAGGGGGCCCTCGGTGCCGGCCAGGGCTGACCCGCAGGACCTGTGTCCTCATGACACGTCTCCTGCAGTCTTGACAGGAGGCAGCAGCAGAAAGTCGGGGTGTGCTCACGGCCGTGGCTGTTGGTCTCTGAACGTGGTCCTTTCGATCAGCTTCCTGACCAAATCAGAGGGGTGTGTTGTCTGTGTCACTTCTATTAAAAAGGTAAAATATCTTCGTGCTGTTTTTAGGAAGCACTGGAAACCCGTAAACCCCAGTTCATTTCTCGCTCCCAAGAGCGGCTGAAGAAGCTAGAACATATGGTACAGCAGAGAAAAGCGCAGCGGAAGGAGAACCTGGGGCAGAAGCAGACCCTCTTTCCCGTCCGCGCCAACAAGAAGCAGTTCACGGTTCCCCACCCCCTTAGTGGTAAGCTACAGGTGGCTTGGGAGGGCAGGTGAGGCTGGGGGGTGGGGGAGCCTGAGGGGCCGGGACCTTCACCCACAGTGATGGTGCAAATGCTACCCCTGACTTGCAGCGGCCTCGGGTTTGCCGCATGCGCCCGAACCCCAATATCCTAAAGCCTGCTCCGGGAGCCACCCCGTGCTGGGCGCTCGTGTGGGGCACTGGGTTCAGCAGAACGCACTTGGACACGAACGCACCTCCGGAGCTGGGCAGGAAGCCACACGCCTGCAGCCGCCAGGGTAGCAAGTTCACATTCTTGGCTCCCAACAGACATTTGCAAGAGAATCCCCTCTGCCCTTTATAGATTGCAAAACAGATCTCCGGGCGCGGGGCGCGAGGTCGATTCCAGCTTGTCTGCATCAACATTCGTCATCTGGAAACCCCTTTCCCGCTGTGAGCTCCGAGAGTGGATGCCCGGCTTTCCAAACGCGGTGGGGCTGGTGTCGCGCTGACCCCGGGGAGGGGCGGCACGCATAGGCTCGCTAGACACGGAGTTCTCAGGAATCTTCTCTGGGCCAGGCACCCTGCTGGGAGCTGCGGATGGCGCGGGGAGCCAGACGGGCCTTGGTCCTTTCTTCTCGGACCTTATAAACAGACTATTAAAGCAGCAAGAATAACAAGAAGAGATGAGAGCAAAACTGGGGACCTACGGAAGGCCTGCCAACTCAAATCTGAAAATCTGGAGGCCTGGGGAAACCTCCCTTTTATTCCTTTGGACAGAGGAACAAGAGCTTTCTTCCTAGCAAAATGTGCTGGCCCCCAGGAGGTGAAATCATGGGTATAAATCTGAATAAAAGTCCTCTAGGGAAATAAGCATATTCAATAAAATGCAGCTTAGCAAACATTACAAACAGCGTAGGGGAGCCTGGGTGACGGAGACCAAGGGGTGTGATGCCAGGATGCCCTCTGACCTCTGTGGCCCGTGGGCAGGCCGTCTCCTTCGTCCACCCACGGCACTGCAAGTCCTAAGACCCTGGGCAACGGTCATCCTTCTCGTGGCAGAGGATTTTGCTGTTCCTTCCCAGTGACATTTTCCAGCCTGCTTCTTCAAAAAATTAAAAAAAAAAAAAACCAACAAAATGAACATGCAAAGACTTTCCCTCTTTGACAATGTGTCTCACCAGCGTTTTCAAGCTGCCTGGCTGGATTTGGGTGTGTTCTCCTGGGGACTAAACTGTCTGCTGGCTCGACAAAGAGCAATCTGGGTTCAGGAGCAGACTTCTCAGGTTACCACGAGGGACCAACCGTCAGCTGCAAGTGGGAGCCCCCTGCGCCCTTGGATGTCTGCGCTTGTCCTGGGAAGGGCCGCCAGGGTGCTCGTGATGGGTGGGCCACTTGGCCTCGACCAACAACAAGATCTTGCTTGTTAGAAAATGACAACAAACACGAAACAGTGCCGCCGTTGACCTCGGCAGATTCATGTGCAAAAAAAATGGCATCTGATTAGCTTCCTTTTTAGTCGGGAAGTTTAGTTTTAGCTTTACTTTGTGCAGGAAGAAATGGGGACCCAGAGACACCAGGAGTGTCTTCCACGTGGGGCCATTCGTCAGCAGCGGCGTAGGGTTCCTCGTCCCCTGGGCCAGCTGTGGGTGCCAGATGCTCTAGGATGACCATTGTCTCCACTATTGGAGAGATGCCCGTTGGTCCCTCCTGGGGCTGCTTTAACAAGTGACCACAGGCCGGGTGGCTAAAGTAGTAGACATGTGTTGTCTCAGAGTCCGGGGGCCAAAAGTGCAAAATCAGGGGGTCTAAATGGCTGGTTTTCTTCTGGATGCTCAGAGGGAGCATTCATGCTAGGCCTGTGTCCTAGCTTCTGGTGGCTTCTGGCAATCCTTGGTGTTCCTTAGCTTACAGATGCATCACTGCGTTCTTTGCCTCATTCTTTACGTGGCCACCTGCCCTTGTCTGTGTATCTTTGTATTCGAATTTCCTCATCTTAGGAGGACACCAGTCGCTGGATCGGGGTCCACCCTCATCTACTATCACCCATTCTAACTTACACGCGTCTGCCAGGACCCTGTTTCTAAGTTAATTCACAAAAACAGGTTGAGTGGGGGGTGAGGACCTGAACATGTCTTTTTGGGGAGATGGTATTCTCAGCACTACATTGTCCAACTGTGGCATTTCCCCCTCAACAGATCTGCTTACAAGTTCATGTTAAATGAAGTCTTTAAACAAAATTCACTTCATTTTTTAAAAAAAGATTTTATTTATTTATGAGAGGCACAGAGAGAGAGGCAGGGACACAGGCAGAGAACAAGAAGACTCCCTTTGGGGAGCCCGATGTGGGACTCGATCCCGGATCCCAGGATCGTGCCCTGAGCCAAAGGCAGACCCTCAATCGCTGAACCACCCAGGCGTCCCCAAAATTTACTTTAAATATCTTGAAATCATCTATATTAAAGGGTGATCGGACCCAGTCAATGGTTTTAATAACCAGTCAATAGTTTAAATACCTTTTTGTCCCCCAGCTCGGAAGTAGTCATAGCCACTAGGACACTGTGGGCAGGACTTTGGGGCAGGGGTTTTATGGCCACTGCCCGTCCCTGCCGTATTTATGTGTCGATGAGAGCTTTATGCTCCTGTTTGTTTGTGTTAGGTCAGTGAAATCAGACAACTTTGGAAACCGGAGCCTCGTGCGAGCTGGGGCAAGGGGGAGGGAGTGTTTAGGGCCCCATTAAACAAGTCTACGGTACACATCTTGTCTTCAGCCTGTCTGCTGGCAAGATGATAAAAGCGAAATGCAGATGTTTTCCTTACATGCTAAATTAGTTAATAAATCATATGCGTGAACGAGCTGTGGCTACAGCGTCAAGACGTCGGCTGGAAGGAAGGAAGGAAGGAAGGAAGGAAGGAAGGAAGGAAGGCAGGCAGGCAGACAGGCAGACGGGTGGGCTTTCCGAGCTGGGCTAGCTGCCTCCTGTCGCCGGGGTTTGCACAGCAGTCTGGTGTCGGGGACGCACCTAAGAGGCTCAGGTGGGCACTCTGGTGGCTGACAGGTGCCTGGATGGCCGGGGGCTGCCGGGACAGCGAGCATCTCAGCGGCGGGCCTGCTGACAGTGAGGGCCAGGGCGCCGGCTCTGCTTCCTGTTAACCCATGAACACCGAGCAGTTTTCAGGGCTCAGGGCCGGGCTGCACGTGTGCGTGCATGTGGACAGGTGTGGGACAGGTAATCGGGCTCCCTGCTGGTAGATGGGGACGTTCATGAGCAGCTGAGACTCCAGGGAGACCAGGAAGCGAGTAGCCTTATGAAGGCCTGTCTCCACCTGCCTGTCTCTACTACTCGCCGGCTGTGGGTTGAATCAGAGTCAGCACACGCGTACGTTCCTTTCCTGGCCCGGACCCCCCCCCCCGGGCCCACCGTGGTGTGGCTGTGGCAGTAACACGGGACTTTGCTCCTCTGTCACTTAGTGAACCTTTCTTGGGAACTCACCGTGTGCCAGGTACAGCCCCTGGTCTCACGGACCTCCCAAGCTCGTGGGGGAGGAAACACAGGGAGAAGCCACTTGGGGTTGGTGGGCGGCTTCGGATGGGGAGACCTCCGAAGCGTGCTGGGCTGGGGCCCTGTTGGTGCATCGAGGCGCAGAGCAGGTGCAGCAGGATGGGGGTGCGTGAGGTGTTGGGTCAGTTCGGATGGAACTGCGGAGTGGGGGTGTGGGCCGACAGGGTGGCAGACGGGCCACAGAGTTGCCCAGGAAGGCTAACGGGGATCATGAATGCTGCTTCCAAGTTGAACCTTATTCCGAGGTCAAGAGCTGAGGCCAGGGCAGGACGGGATGGGCAGGCCTTGGGCAGGGCAGCGGGATCCAGGACGGTGACGGATGGGACAGCTTTTGAGGTGATGGAATCAATGTAAGGTAGTGACTGCTGAGTCGTGAGGAGAGAAGGTGAGAGCCAGGGAAGCAGGAGGAGGAAGGAGGAGACCATGGACCTGCAGTCTCAGGGCCATCCCCCGCCTTCCCTGACATCACTACCTGGCTCCCAGGGGCCTGGGGGCTGGTCCCTAACTTGGAATGTTTCAGAGTAAGTCATCGCTTCTGCCTAGTAGGATGAGTGAGGGGCGGGACGAACAGAGCGCGTCAGGTGTAGGCAGCGCCTCTGTAGCCTGTAGGTGCTCCATCAGCGGCGCCCTCACCACCGCCTGCTGACCAGGGTGTGGCTCCGGCCTGTTCCTGCTGCAGCCCCGCAGCCTGGGAGTCCAGCCCAGAGCCCCCCTGGATTTCATCCCGACCCCATGACCTGGGCCCCTCCTGGCCTGACTCTGCCCACCCCCCAGGCTTCCCAGTTGGTGTCCTTGCATCAGGATCCCGGAAGCACCTAAGAGAAGCCTTGTCTGTCTCTCCTTGTCTCTGCCCTATAAAATGTTGCCTCACCTCACTGGCCCCGCCTAAGTCCAGCATCTTCCTTAACCTCTTACTCCCAAGGCCCTTCCTTCTGGTTCCCGTAATGCCTGACCTGCATGGTCATGGGAGCCCCGCTGTGCTCTCACGCAGTCCCGGCTGCTTCTGTCTCTCTGCCTATCGGGATCCTCCTGGTGACCCACTCACACTGTCCCCCTAACCTGCAAATGCCTAGAAAACCCATGAGGCATGTCCCCTCCTTCCATGAAGCTCTCCCTGATATTCCCATCCTGTCCCCTGCCCCCACCTCATCCTGCCTTGTGAGGGCTCATGGCTCTTGTATGTCTCTGGATCCCCAACCTTCTTACCTTCTCCACCCTGGCTTATGGTCAGGTGGGGATGCTAGTAAAGCCCCCCTAGACTGTAAGCGCCAATGGGCACACCCCGCACTGAGTCACTCTGGGCTGCTCTGCTGCACGTAGCAAAACAGACTGAATTCATCTGAATTGCATTATCCACACTTCCCAAGGTGATCCAAGTCGGAGCCATTCAGATCACGGACCAGTAGAGGAACGGAATTCTCTGGAAGGCACCGCAGAATTCCTCCTCCAGCAGATCTGCCT